CGACGACCGGGGCGGCAACAACTCGTCGCGCATAACGTCTGGCTCGGCCGACGGTTCTGCCGCCGGTCCGTTCGGCCACGACAACGCGTACCAGTCGCCGGCGCCACCGCCTCCGTCGTCGTTGCCGCTCAGGAACTACGGAAGTTCGCACGATCCCGTCACGTCGACACCGTACCCGCCAACAGGTACGTACTCGTTTATTAAATCATTTATATTTTATAATACCTCATCGCGACTAAGCCATATATTTTATACATATCTTAAAAAACTAAAAAAATAATGCGCGTGTCACACACCCTTATACATCGTTTTACCTTCTCGCAGGCAAAATAATAATAATAATAATAATAGTAGAAGTAATAATAAAAACAACTCGGTTTGACCCGGTTGTGAGTTCTGAGAACGATATATACGTGCCGCGGGGTCGGAGACTTGTATAAAAATTTTTGACATAAATAAACGATTTCAAAACAAACACGACGTACAACGTAATGACGTAATATATTACGACCTTTTCTTCTTTTTCTTCTTCTACACGCCTGCTATATATGCGCGTGCAGTACACTATAATATATATAGGTAAATGTGCCGCATCATGTATACATAATATGCTGTAGTGGGTGCTGCTGCAGAGGGGCGGTGTGCATATGTATATATAYGTGCGGCACACATGACGTATACCTATGTATTATATATACCTGTAGCAGCCGAGTGTAGGTATATAACCTATACATAGGTATCACGTATATATGTATATTATATGGTTTATAATATTATTATTATTATTGTGCGGCGCGAGCAATAGAGGCGATACGTGCACGGGCGTCCGTCCGCGTACAAAAGGACGGGCGGCCGTAAAGTATACGATTTTATTGGACGGGTAGGTCAGCTGTCTCTGCGGCAGTTCGATGCCGATGCCGTCGCGTATATTATTATTATTATTATTATTATCATTGTGTGTATATTATTATTATACTATACACAGYCAGCTCAGCAGCACTCACGCAGAGCGGCATCGGTCGGTCCGTCGTCGTCGCACGGCCTGGTATACATAGGTAAACCTACCTAAAGCGCGCGGGGACCAGATTATAATAAAAAAATAATAATAATAACGATGACGACGACGACGACGATGATGATAATACATCCTGGTGCTACCGAATTCGTTGTCCACCCAATGTACAYGAATTGTACGAATTTAAATAATAATATTATTATTATATCTTCTACTGCTGCACGCAGCGGTGATTTTGATTTCGGCTGTATCGTGTGAAGGAGCGCCCGGGTATCGCTTTAGATCAGTTTTTGCGTGGTCTACCTATTCTCGAATCTCGATATTATATTAAATTAAAATATAAATTATTATAAAATTATGATGCCATTAAATCGCGTGYCTAGATGTGTGTGTCTGTGTGTAGTCTAACGTGTCGTTTGTACGCGTGCGGTACTGCATATTATAGTGCATGTTATACTTATAAAATAATTTACTCGTGATTCGCGTATAAATCTCGAGTTTGTGCCACGGTCGCCGTGCAGCTCGTTTCAAATAATTTATCATCTAAACGGCGTTTTTTATTTTCATATTATTTTAGTTATCTCGTAAAATATTAATAAAATACAATATTCCAGCACCGGGACACGGTAAAAACTAAAAACAAACAAAAAAAAAACAAAAAAATTAAACGCGAACAAAACCTACATTATATTATATATAGATAATTAGAAAATGTCAGTCTTTGTAGGAATATAAAACGCGAGTAAAATAACGTTAAAATCGAATAATATTATAATATTACATAATATAATACATATATCGATACCGACCGATGTCGCGTTCCGCCGTACGTAATTTGCAGCTGTCCCTGCGGCGGCGGTGGCGTTCGCACCCTTATCCGAGCGTATCTTCTATAATATACGCTAGTTTTTCTGCTCACTCGGCYKCCCATCATTCGATACATGGGTAGGTGTTTTCATTACGTGACAAATGTTGCTGCAGTTGCAAACCATTATTATTATTATTATTTATTTTGTTTKCACAAATTCGCGCGGCCATTGTGTACCTACTTCATATTATATAGGTAGGTACAATATATATATTATTATGATATCGAATCGGCGCGGCGCGGCGGTGGTCCCCGGAGGATTGCGGACGCTGACGACCAATAAATTTTTTCGGATTAAAAGCTCGGCTCCCATCGCCTCGCCACCTTCACCTCCAATGCGCTCTGAATTCCCTGCCACGAGCGTGTCATACATACATTATAGACATTCAGGTATGAGAGTATTATAGCCTATAGGTAACTGCAGCAGCATATATGTCCGAAATAACCGAAACGTTGACCGCGGCAGTGCGTTAACGCCGAAACGATATACTTAACTAAACTATACTTAGGTGTTTTTATTACCACAGTTCTTGACAGCTTTACGACTCGAGACACTTTTTACAACTGCAACCACCGCCGCCGGTGCTACCACTAAACTGCTTATGATGCAGTTCAATCGCCTGCACCCGTCGTACAACAATATCAGGCATATCGCATAAAAAAAAAAAAAAAAACATTTTTGATTTGTAAGCTCACCAACGACTATACGCTCACACAAATGCAGGTACCACCTATATACCTAATATGAGCATAAAAATATATACCTATAATCAACCTATTATAATCATCGAATTCGGTGCGTGATGTATTAGAATAGGACAGACGTTTTTTATGTAATTAAATAATGTACCATATCAACCATGATCATTGAGATTATTATGGTTAAATCGTAGTGATAAACACCTTGTTTTAAAACTGAGGATAATATGAAAAATATTTTAGAAGGCAACTGGGAGTTATTRTTCAATGAAAATTCTAAAAATATCCTTCGTTTGTGCAGTGCCGTGAGATTGAGATGTTTTCACAAAACGATTAAACTAGAATTACATTCAAAACAGTTATGTTTCTTGGTTAAACGTTATTCTTAATTCTCTAACTGCCTACAAGTATTTTACACTTCTTCAATAATTGGGTTAAGGTTACAAACAGGTTTTCATTATTTTTCGTCACTCTCGCAGTCGCGAGTTCATCTAGTCACATCAGTTTCACGTCAAAACTGTACAAACTCATATAGGTATACCTACTAGGTACCTCAAAAAAAATCTATATATTTATATAATACAGAGCTGAAATTGGGAATGGGGGTGAAAGAGAACATTTACTCACGTCTCAAAACAGTTACTTAAAAAGTGTCACCATAAACATATCCTCCAAAAGCTACATTTAACACTCAAATATACCTTTTTTGCTTTAAAAAAAAATTTTTTACTATCTTACCAAGAAATATATTTTATGCTATTTAAAACATTAAGTTGCAGAAATAGAGTAAAGCATTGCAATAGTAACAGTRGAGGTATCTTCCATCGACAACTTCACTGCGTTTTAAAATCATTGTTAATTATTTTAAATTTTAATTATCTYTAGTATAGTTTATAATACTTTTTACTAATGTTCCTTATTTTTAATCATATTATCCTTAATTTATACATTGAATAAGCCTTAGATGACATAAAAAATATGAAGCGGTAAAAACTATGTATAGAGGTCATAGTGTCTCTTGTTGTTTCTAGCTACTTTAAGCCCTGATATCAGTGCTGCAGTACAACACGTCATATATTATATAGGCACATATAGGCGACATTTATAGCTACTGCATGTTATTGCTACTACGCAAATGTTGACGACCACTGTCGGTTCCATATATACAAGATTGTTATTACTTATTACTAAATATATACGTGTACGCCGACGACACTTCGAGAGTGCCATTTCGAAGGAACATAATATTATAACCATAACGCGTGTGCGCGCACATTATACCACGCGCACACACACACATACACACACTTGAGCGTACAAATGATATATACGTGAGCGCGTGTACGCGCGTAGAAAAATTTAAATTCCGTTTATACTTCAATATAACATCTGCTTATTATTATTAGTTTCTACGCGCGCGACCCGTCTGCCCTCGTCGCCGGGCGTGTTTTATATAATATTTTATATATAGGTACACGCGCGCAACTCCTACACGTTACTATAATATGTTCTATATACACATTATTTTAATGATAATATGTCGCGCACGAAAGAAAAWAAAAAACATTTTTTAATTTTCCAAGTTGCCAACACGCGGCGGCGACGGGGTGTGCGCATAGAGTGCCCCTAGACAGCTGCGACGCCCGCCCGACCGTGTATTTTGTCCCGCGTTAATACATTATAATATCTATACGTGTGCGTGTGTGCGTGTGAGCGTGTATGCGTGTAGGCTTATACTTTGTGTAGCACGACACACCTCGTATAGTTGATTTCGAATCGAAACTCGAAAGCCAATACCCAAGTCCGGGCGAACGACATAAGTATAGGTGCCTACCTACATTCCGCCGGAAGAAATTCCAATCGCCGTTGCTTTACGAACAAAAATCAACCCTTTAGTGCGCAGTGTGCGACGGTCAGAATATAATGCAAAATATTGCCCACTTTATATAACATAATATTAGAGGTTTGAGGTTCAGAATACGCATAAAATCTTATAAATTGAAAAGAAAAAACCAACGCCTGTTTCGAAATTCATTAAAAAAAACGACCACTAAACATTATGTACTCATATATTATTATTATTATTATAATGACGCGTTTATGTATCATATATACACATATTTTATCGAGAACCGGCTGCGGTATATTGTGCGATCAACAGGGGCGGTTGTTTGCAAATTTCACCCCAACCAAATCGCGCGAGGGATGTTACTCGCAAACGAAAAACAGATAGCTTTTATGAACACTCCGAAGAAATTTCTAACGAAACCCTACCTATATACATTGTACTGCGACTAGGTAACACTCCCGCCCATTTAAATGCTTGTCGTATATATATATATATATGTATATACCTGCAGCGTTCACCCATATCTACACAATATTCATATGGTATAAAGGTGTTTATATATATATATATATATATATATATATATATATATATATGAAGGCATGCGGTTGTATGGCCCATATTATACCGTGCAGTGATCACCCGCGGCACAGCATTTGTCGTGTAGGTACCCATATATTATATCATACGTATAAAACATTTTTATACAAAGCGTTTTGACGATTTAAACAAAAATAATATTCAAATGACCGATGCACAGGTAGTACAAACATGCGCACAGCCTGCATACCTATACAGACGTGGTATAATAAATACCTATATTTTAGTTAGCCGTTTGACCGAGTCGATCGCCGATACCACATAATATAATGGGTATTTGATCGAGCTATGGCTTAACGGCGCCGAACCGGCCGTAAACATATCACTCTATATAATACACGTACAAATCGACCGTGAAGTGTTTAATGTTATATCGTTGTAAAAATAAAAATAGTTTTCAATCCGTTTGGAAAAAAAAAAAAATTTATGTCAGGATCAGCGGTGCAGATTAATAATAATAATAATAATAAAAATACAAATATTAACTCGTGATCGACAACAGTTTTGGCTCTAAAATTATTTACTTTTGATTTCGCTTTGCAACTTGCAATAGTATCTTACGACGAAAACATAAAAAATTTTTGAAATGAAATTATACAAGACGTATCACGGAATTCTATTATAGCGACAAATATTTTATAGTGTTTGATATAATATGTAACCCGTATATTTTTAAGTAGTATTTCAATATAAATTGAATTACATTTAATTCCAGATAACTTGTTTCCAATGAATTCATACTTACGAACAGTTATGATAAAGCGTAACTCTTAAGAGTAATATCTATATAATAAACCTTTACAAAAAATACTGTCAATTTTTTAGAAGTTTATTGTTTTGCATCAGCTGACATTCCGAATAATATTAGAAGTAATCCATTTTTATCGAATTAGTAAAAGTGTCAGTCGCCTAGAAAAACCATATCGTAGTATTAGAACTCGTTTTAAATGTCATAATTCCAAATCAATTTTTAAGGTACGTTGTAAGACATATTACTTTTATTATGATTCAACTAAATTTCAAAAAAAAAACCCTACCTAACAGTTGCAGTCGTTGCATATTTATATATTATATATAGGTACATAATTTATTTATTTTAAAACTTTTAACATAACTATTATAGTGCGATTCTATTACAGTATACAAATATAGAATAGATAGAAATATTCAATATCAATAATAGGTACAATTGATAATAACATAATCCGATTAAAATTTAAAATAACATAAGTACATAATTTATAAATACTATGTATAATTAACACGATGCATATATTAAAGCCTAAATATGTTAAATTATAATAATAAAACAATGCAAAATGTGTTATATCTATATACAGTTATTATATTAAAATTAACTATTGAAATTTTTATTTTTCTATCATAAATTTACGAGCCCATTGACACAAATATTTTTTATTAACTCCGTTGGTTTTGCATCCTCGCAGGTTCGCTGTCAAGCATCGGCATGGGCGTCGGGTCCAACCCGCTGGAGTGGACCGGTCAGGTGACGGTGCGCAAGAAGAGAAAACCGTACTCGAAGTTCCAAACGTTGGAGCTGGAGAAGGAGTTTCTGTTCAACGCGTACGTGTCCAAGCAGAAGCGCTGGGAGCTGGCCCGGAACCTGGCGCTGTCCGAACGCCAGGTGAAAATATGGTTCCAGAACAGGCGCATGAAGAACAAGAAGAACAGCCAGCGACAGGCCGTGCAACAGCAACAGCAGCAGCAACAACAGCAACAGCAGCAGTCCAACAACAACAACAGCAACGGCAGCGCCAACGCCAATCACCAGCACCACATGCAGGTGATCGGCGGCCACCACGGCAACGGGCCCATCAAACACCATCAGTGACCGTCGCATTACTCTGGAGCCGCCACCGCCGCCCACCCACCGATGAACATGCACCACATCCATCATCAACTACAGCCGCTGCCCCCGCCGCCGCACCACCATCACCATCATTACTCGATGCAATCCGTCTGAGCACTTACGGCGAAAGTCCGAGTGCGACGTAAGTCTTAACCTATTTCACATAACATATTACGTATAGTAAAGCATTCGCGGAGAAGGGWTCGATCCCTTTTTGGTTTTTGGGCTCGGCGTGATCGGTAATTTTACTTTTTGATTTCCGTCAACTCTCAACATAAATGTCTCRGTGTGCATATTTTATGCGGGTAGCCAAAAAAACGTCCGAGTACGATATTGCAGTAGTAGGATACGTATCTATATATATATAAATATGTGTGTTGCGACGATCGAAGAGTTTCGGAAACAGATTTCGCGACGGTATACTAAAATGCGATCGTGGGAAATCGCTTCCCCTCGTCRCCGTTCTCGAAAACCAGTCTCTGCACGTCGTGAGCCCGTTTAATGCAGTCAAATTCGTATTCCGTAGCTATTCGTTTATATACGTGTACATCGTACATTTATGTAATATATTATTATATTCATAGTTCTTCCATGAACCGGACGAGCTCCGTCTCTTATCCCGAATCTCGCTCAAACACAATATTACATCAACCGGAAAAATAAAAATCTTAGCTCGAAAACCAATAGTATAATATATTGATAGGTATGCCATTCCAAAACGGTGGGGTAAACGTAGTACGTAGTTACACATATTTTAATCGTGTATATATGATTAATAATATTWTATTGTGTATTATTTTAGCATATTTAGGTGTGTTTACCTAAAATATATCGGCTCCAGAGTGTCGACATTTTATAATATTACGTTATAAAAATCGTAATTTTTAAACGTGTACATACATATATGTATATATACATAAAATACAATAATATTTAAGTTACTACTTTTGTGTATGAGATTATACTATTAGACTAAATATACAATACATTACGCAATGTGTTTTTACTAAATTATAGATATTATTATGTAAATGTGTATTTAACGAAACGTGTATATGCTGCAATATAATGATGTAGAATATAATAATAATTGTCCCCGAGTTGGACGCATTCAAGTGTGATGCGATGATATTATTATTATTATTATCATCATCGTAGGTACTTTATTTAAAAAAGTGTTATCGTTTCTTTTTTCTTTTTTCTTTAATTTCTACTTAGCCTCTAACTTAAATAATAATAAATGTAATGATAATAATGTAATGATTTTAATGATATTTACATAAAACTATATAGATCGTTTCTATAAACATAACCAGTGGTTTTTATATATTTACTATCATTATTATTATGTTTTTTTTTTTTTTAGATAAAAAAAAATATCGATCTCCGTCTTTATGCGAGTTTTAGCGTTTTCTTAATTTTTTTTCTAATATTTAAATAATAAATGTGACGTGTAAATATGTAATATAACTGCTAAACAATAACTTAATACTATATTATAATATTATATAYGCATAGATATCGTGTATAAGTCGTATGCATAATGTTATTATGTCTTATTTGAACTGCATYCACTATAGATAGTAGTCGGTTTTGTCGATTTATCAATCTTTCCCCTATAGTATTAATATTATAAAACGTTTTTCACACACATGAGTTGTACTTATATATTTATATAT